TAATATAATCGAAGGGATTAAGGTGTGGTTAAAGCAGTTATAATATAATATAATATAATATAATATAATATAATATAATATAATATAATATAATATAATATAATATAATATAATATAATAAACTAGTTCACGATATTTTTACCGAGGACAATTCCCAGACACCTGTACAGTTGTTTGCAGATATTTCTGCAAGTCTGCACCGTAGCGATAGCGATTTCTGAACAATGCAATACCGACGATACCGTCGGAAACAATGGAAATAAAATTTCACATTACATATCGTGCCCCTCCCTGAAGAGCAACTGTCGCAAGTAAATTAAACTCGCTGGACGTTATCTCGGAGATGGTTGCACACGTCAAGAGAGAGTCTCTCTAGCGCAAAAACAGTCGCAAGTTGCACGCCAGTGCCTTCGCACTTTTTAGCAACGTGTCCTGTATTTTTAATTCCGTTGTCTTCCTCGCGTGACACACCTTCGCCATTCGTTCTCAGGCATCGTACCTAACGTCGCCGGCTCCACCTAAATTGCATTCATCGAGGCGTGACGGTGATTGTTAATGCCGGAAAGAAGAAGACCGTTTTCTTTCCTAGCCTTTCGTTATCGAGCAGTTGGGCGAGTTCGCGGTGGACATCTCAGAGAGAATCCATTCCGTTGTTCCGGAGGATCCTGGATCTTCGGAATCGCGGGTTAATTGAACGGGGCCGAAGTTGGTCTTTTCTTAAACCGAGAGCCAGAAGTTTCCCGGCCGACTGCGAGAATTCCTTGCGTTGTTCCTGCGGGATCGTGAGCCGTGGGTGCGTGGAACACGCGCTCGGGGAACCGCCGGAGGGTCTTCTTTTCCATTAGAGTCGGACGACACACGTGCCACGGGTAAGATTGAACAGAAGTTGCCGAAGTCACGGGGAGAAAAAACGCGAAACTCCCGGGCGACGAGCACCGGGAAACTTCGCCGTCGAACTTTCGGGCCGCCGAACTCATCCGGAACTTCTGGCAGTGTGTCGTGTCGTTGATCACCGCGACACGACAGCGTGACCAAGTATTTTCATGAATCTTCCGCGATGACGCGGATCGATCGCGTTTTAATCGGCCCTTGTCTTCCGCCCCGGCCGGCTCCGCTTCGGAATCGAATTCGAAGCGGAGCGGAGCCCGGGTATATACTCGCGACGATATCGACGCGCGGGCACCGTTTCGGTGGACGATCCTCCCGCGGATGAACGCGCGCAAACGACTTCGCCTGACTTTTATAGCCCGGAATCGTCGGCGGAACGACGACTTTGCGCGCGGATCCGTCTTTATGATATTTTCATGCTCGATAGGTAACGTCTGGCTTAACGGCGTCGATCGTAGCCAACGAGCATAAACCGCGGCGCGGCGGGAACCGACGCGGCCCGGAACGGGCTTCCGCGTTTTGCATCGAAAGCGCCGCGCGATCCTCCGGCCGGGACTCCGCGGAACGGAACCGTTTCGAGTTAATCAACAAAAATATCGAATCCCGCGTATTTCCTCGGAATCGCGAACGCAGTCGACACTTTCGTGTTACGGTTATTGCGCGAGCCCGGCCCGACAAGACACGATTGCGGTGCCGCTTGTTGTAACGCCGGGACGTGTCGCGACGTTGATTACGGTAATCGCAAGCTTGTTTGTTTTAACGAGGACACATGTTCGGATAAGACATCTACGTGTGCAGCTTGGGAATCGAAGATAACGTATATGTTTGTCCGGAGAACCATAGTTCACCGTTCGTCAACGGAGACGCGTGTGTTCGCAAGTGTTCGAGCAATAAGCTGGATTTCGTTCAAAAATTCGTGCATGATAGAGTAAATAAATGTTTAAAATTGAATTTGCTTATATGAAACGATAAAAATACTGTGAAATACGTATTATTATAAAAAAAAGTAAATATATGAGGATTAATTAATGATTTTGCAGCGTATAGTATGCTTCGAAACGTTTTGGAGAACGGAACGGCGCATAAATTAATGCAGTAGACTATAATAGGACGCAGTTCGAAATTAGTTCGAGAGAAAAGTGTCATAAATAGCTCCAAATTAGTCTGATAGAAAAGTTTCGTAAATGACTCGAAATTATACTGAGAGAAACGGGTCACACAAATAACTCTTAAAATTATACCGAGAGAAACTGTCAGAAATAGCTCAAAATTATTCCGAATGGAAATGTCGCAAATAGCCCAAAATTAACATCGCATGATTTAACCCCGAGATCTTATCGTCTCTAACGACCGAATTGTTGTTGCAGTTCCACTGGTGAATGTCAGCGTAGTGGAAGGAGCGCCAGCGGAATTACCATGCGACATCACTCCACCAGGAGAGGACACCCTGCATATGGTTTTCTGGTTCAAGGACGAAGCTGGCGTACCCCTGTACACGTGAGTAACCAGTTGTACCGCTGTTTTGGCCAGCCAGGCCTTTTCTCGCGAGTTCGTGATGCCTACCAAGCTACCTATCCTCGACGCTAATTTATGTATCGAAGTGTGAAACTGGTTTACCATTCGGATCATTAAGGGAATCCACGCAATCCACAAAGCCGGTGCTCGACTTATTTGCTCTTTACCAAGAAGAGGCGTCTGTTGTAAGGCGATTCTTCTTTTCGACCGTCGGATGACTGGAGGTCATCGGAAAAAAGTCGAAGCCGGGTCATATCTCACCCAGAACAAAATTTCTATCTCGACAAAATATATTAATATAAATATAATATTAATATATATTTATTAACTAATATATATTAACAATTATAATATTAATATATATTATTCTCGTGTCAAAATATCAATTTTTCGACTTTATATTTAAATTCATTTGGTTACATGTTTACAGTAATCTTAAAAAAAAATGATTTTATATTATAGTGAATGCTAGGAAAGGAAGCAACGGATACGATAATTTTAATGAAATAATTTATTTATAGGTAGAAAGAGTACATTCTTAGACTTTTAAATACTTCTTCTTAGTATACATACATGTACAGCCAAAGCAAGTACATAGCTATCTCTTCTCTTTACACAATGCTTCTTGAAATGACTTTCCCTCTTCCTACTTCAAGAAATGCTAACAGTATACAGAAGTAGTAGGGGAGCAAGTAGGAGAACTCAACCAACTGCAGACACCTTATCGATAAGTAGACTGCGGATTTTTATGCAAAATTAGAACTTTCTTTATGAATTCCGTCAAACGCAAAGAAGAGATTAGATTCTTTAAGTCTCTATACTGTTTCAAATTTGATCAACCTATTTTTATCACAAATGCATCAAATCCGCAGTCTACTGATAAGCATTCGAGTCACGTAAACAATTCGAGTCATACTAAACGCAGCTTAGTCGACCTACGGTTAACTCGATAGGAGACGCACCCCATGCTGCAACACAGGTTCTCGCTACCGGGTCGAAAATACCTGCACACGAAATACTAAAAAGCATGCCTTTCGAATATTTTTCTTCGACTGTATTACCTTTATATCAAAGTACAGCGTTTTAAAGTGCGAACAAAAAATTTAAAATATACCTTAAAATCTTTATTGAACCTCTTCCAAAAATCCTAACAGAAGCTCAAACGGACTTTTCAACCGTTCGGGTACAGATTTATTTGAAAAAATTCTTGCGTTTTGAACGCATTTAATTTGCTGATGATTTGAATTTTTTTTAGATGACAGAGGGACTGGACGATGACTGAAATGTCTTTTTTCTTAATTTCGTTATTACTTGGAATGACAAAACAATAAAGATCTCTCGTTTTCCAAATTTTTTATCCGAGCCTATAACGAAAATTTAAAAAATGAGTTATAATAACTTAAAGATCGCAAAAATAGCGATTTTATCACGATTTCGACCAAAAACTGTGACAAACTTGCAGTTTTTAAAATCCTTCACCGATTTCCATCAAATTTTCAGCATTTTTTAAATTTTTGTTATAGGCTCGGATGAAAAAAGTTGAAAAACGAAGATTTTTAATATTTCCTTTTCATTCCAAGTAATAACAAAATTAAAAAAAGAAGCTTTTTAGCCATCATCTAGTAGATTAGTCTCTCTAACATCTAAAGAAACAGTTATTGAAAAAGTTTGAAAAAGTTATTTTGAAAAAGTTATTGCGTTTTGAAAGATGTACGAACACTCTAGTGTTCTGGTGTTTAATTACTACTGTACGTAGTAATTAGAAGTTTGATTGACCAGTTTGAATGACGAATCAGACTCGTAATTTCGGCAACACAAGCGCATGACGAGTCTCAGTCGTCAAAAGTACCAAAGGGATTCACCCTGCACCGGGCGCATCAGTTAAAGTTACATAAAGGTCGCGTGGGGTGCGCGACAGTCCAAACAAAGCCACGTTACCATGGCTCCTAATTAAAAGCTAATGCAGCTAATGACAGCTGGATCACGCCGGTTAACATTTCGCTAAGGAATAAAGAAACGTCGGTGATAAAACAAACGGCAGAGCGTGTCAAACACCCTTCGGGGTCAAACGGTCAAACGGTCAAACGGTCAAACTACCGTTCCAGAATTAATTTTACATGGTTACATCACTGGTAAATTTTACGCAGCAGCGCCTTCGACCGAGTTAACGAGAACGCGATCGAGTGTCGTAGAGAGAACTCGCGAGAGAATTCGAGGAGGGAAAATAAGGTGGACCCTTGTATTCGATTCTCGTCGGGTCGGCGTAAAAAATCCGCGACGTCCGAGGTATTCGTGGCCGGGTCTGCTAATATGCAGTTGCACCTTGGCCGGCGCATCGCGTTCTCTTTTCCGTGATATCGCCCCATCCCCGCGCTACATGATACAGCGTCCGTTCCGCGATATTAAACGTACGTCACTGTTCGTTGGTGCTCGGGCCGGCGCTCGGCACTCGCCACTCGAACTCGAAATTCCTTTCTGCATTCCGTTTCGCAGACGCGCGGCCCGCGATGTTCTCCTGTTTCCGAGTTGGCCGCAATAACAGCCTGCCGGGCGGCGGAGTCCCTCTCATAAAGGGATTCTCCGAGCAGCGGTCCGTTCTTTTTTTCCTTCCGGCGCGGCGGCCAGAATTTCCCGGCCGGATTTCCTCCGACGAGGTCCTACCGCTCGGCGAAGAGGGTCGACGACGACGACGACGCCGCTCGAGCGCCGATCAAGAACGATTATTAATCGAGTCGATCGCGGAGACGCGCGCGCGGAAAACTTTTAATTGATAATTATCTCGCCCCATCGCGCACTTATAATTCCATTCAACGAACCTGAAAATCAGCCGTCTCGATTTAAACGTCGCTACACGGCCGCGCGCCGACTCCGATCGACGCGCGGCGCCGATTTTTCCGTCGGAGAAACAATGACCGTGCCCCGCTGAACAATACCGGCCGGAGAGTTTCCTCCGGCGAGATGGGATCGGACCCGACTCGAACAAGAGTCCCCTTAATTGACAATTATCTCGGCCGATTACTCGTTATGATTTTTCCAAGCGCTGTGCCGAGCCGAGCCGGGCCGGGCCGAGCCGAGCCGAGCGGAGCGCTGGTCGCCCGAGGATTCGATTTAAATTGGACTCTCCGCGGCTTTCGCGCGATAATTTCTCTCGGCCCGGCGCAATTAAAGCGCACCGTCTTGAGAAGGAGACTCTCGAGCCGGCGAGAGCACCGCGATTTCCCGATCGGCACAAACGGAATGCTTTTGCGACTTTCGGCCCGCCGTCGTGCTCTCTGTCCGCGAGATTTTCCTCGAATTTTATGGTCAACGTCGAAACGGAACCGTCGTTGCAAAATATTACGGTGGTAATTGCTTTTCGACGATGTTCAGTGCCGTCCACTCTGCTTCCAGCGATTCATTTCAACGTGCTCTTCGATACGATCGCGAAGTTTCAAGAGAATTGATAATTATGGGCAAGGGTTTCTCTTCTCTCGTAATGTTGTTCCGAATGAAAATTAGAAAACAATCGAGTACACGCTTCCCCGATATTTATTATTTATAGATCACTACAGAATATGTACTGTGTCAGAGTACGATCGAAAAATACATTAAACGCAGGCTGATACAATAGTCAGAGTATTATCCGTTGAATTCAGTTTATCATTTTCAGCCAAGATATTGTTCAATATGCGTGCAAATTCAATTTTCCCGAAATCGTAGCGTCCCACGCAACTTCGTTATTCTTGATTTTCGTCTTTTTTCCACCCGTGGAATCTATCTGACCCAATTTGTATCATACATTATGAAACACCCTGTAGAACCTTTAGCAGTTTTCGACGAGCATATTGTCGCAAAGAGATGGCAACAGTTTGCCTCACGACGAGTGCGTGTACTCGTCGAAAACAGCTAACCGGTTAACGGACAAAGCGTCGAAAGTAGCCTGAAACGAAAGTCGCGCGCACGTTTTGTAATAATGGTCGAGCCGATACAAACGTCGGGCACGAGCAACGAGGAGAAAAATTGACTTTCCGGCGAAATGTCGGTAAATCCTGGGATCGGAGCCACAGTGCGGTCTGCGCCGATGAAATAAAATGCGAACGATCGCGCTCGCCGTTGCACGGTCGCGGGCGCGTGGCATCGCGAGAACGTTTCCCCATTTCCATTCCCGTCACGGACGACGTATCGGTAAATAAGCCTGCCACGTAACCAACGATTAATCCGTATTTCGAATCCCTTCGATATACGAATCCCTTCCGACGAGATCCGCGCGCGGAGGACAGACACCGTGTTCACCGAGAGGACGCGACACGACGCGACGGAGCGCAAATAAACGATGAAAACGCTTATCCCGGTTCGCGCGATCCCTAGCACGCCGTTTCTCTGCCATCGTAGTAGTAACTGGAACGGCAACGGCGCACTTTTAACCCCGTTCGAGTTGCTATCCTTCCGGCAGTCGCACCTGGAATGTCAACGCGACGGGTCACGCGTTGTATATTCCAAGCGACATGCTCCCGTTCCTGTCCCAAACTTGTCGGCCATCCGTGTTCGACGATAGAAAATCCATACACCGCGGCCCCTCCACCTATTCCATGCCATACCATAATTTTACGAACAAACAGCCGGCGACAGTTTGCTAGTTCATTCATAAATGGATGCCAATTATTCGTTGGGAGGTGCTGTGGAGTAATGGGAGATAACACAGCTGACTACCGCTTACACAACCCCCACGGCAAAAAGTATTCGATCGCTATTTAAATGAGATTACTTTTTTGAAACTGGACAGAGTCGTTTGAATTTTTCTCAGATGATAGGAGCAATGTACTAGACAATGACTGAAATACTTTTTTTAATTTTGCCATCAACACGATCAAGCGCTAAGCCTGTTTTCTAATACTCGTTAAAATTTTGATTGGTAACAAGTAATATTTAGGTACATTCCTTTATAATCACCAAATTTTGTATAATTTATGTAGTAGAATATCATTTGTTAGATCGTATATCGT